TTACCTAATCATCATCCTTGTAATGATGAATTTCTCTGCTTACCTAGGGTGCATCTTAGGCAAGGATAGACATAGTTCTCATCTATACCATGCTCTGTTAACATAGGCTCTAAATACTTTGAGTCAGTTTATTATTTCAATAGCTCTTACACATCCCAGCAAGACTTTCCTTGTGGCAAAGAAAAATAAAATAGGCTTCAATGTTGGTTAAAAGTATTAAGTAAAGAAGCTTTTTTTAAAAAAAAAATCAGAAATTGTGTCTAATAAAATACATTCCCACTTAAATAAATCTTCATTCAGAGATTTAATCTCTGTGTAATATAAGAAAAAGAAACAGTTACTCCTTCTTCTTGATTCTAAATGCAGCTATCATTCTTTTTGCAAGCCCTAACAGTGTTTGCTGTGCTCACTAACATTATGCTGGTTTGATTCGGTTAAGGCCCTATTAACTTAACTAGATTAAAGATATTTTCTCTCTTAAAAAGCAACCTCTTTAGCCCAGAGAGGTTCTTGCTATGGATATAGTTTTCATTTCCTGATTACAACTCTAGTCAAACTCTCATTTCTCTCCACAGCCTCTCTTTCTGACTGATCCCTGCATCTCAAAGAATGACCTCATATTCTAAATATTTATATTAAAAAATTCCACAAATGTTGAAAAGTAACAGCCATAAACAACTTTTCAAAATACAGTAACATACAGCAAAAGCTAGGTTTCTTTACAGAGCACCCTTTATACTATGCTAGATAACTCATACTTAGTAACCAAATTAGGCTATTATTTATGAACTAGCATGTTCAATCAAAATAATTCCTATTCTTAAAAGATTCATTTTGGTTACTGACAAGCTAGGGAGTCAATCATGCATAGTTAATAGGAAAGGTATTGTACATTAATTAGCCCTTAAAACCATTAAGAACCCATTGGAATAGAATAATAACTTAGAATTTGGTTCAAAATTCTATTGATAGTATGTATATAAACCATAAATAATAGGAATGAAATGTCTAACTGGCTTTGCTCTAGCTACCTATTTCATTTGGTCATGCTCATTGCCATATCTGCCAAGCTATTACTCAAAACAAAATGGTAGAGTGGATAAAATAACATGGTAGAGTGAAAATATTACCTCTGGAGTTGAAGATTCTGGCTTCAAGTCCCTGCCTTTTCCTTCGCTAATTATGTGACACTTGGGAAAAGCCACAACCTCTTTGGGCCTTAATCTCCTTATCTGTAAAATGAGTGTCTAAATGAAATTTAAGGTCCCTTTAAGCTGAAAACCTATGATCCTATGAATAAATGAGTAAACCCCACTCCTAAAAAAAGAAAAATAAGAGTTCTTTCAAAAATAAATTGTGATCAGATATCTTAGTAAAAAGATACCTGGTGCCACTGGCTCATAGATGCAATATTCTGAGGGTGCTGGCTAATTTTTACTTGATGGTGAATCATTAAGAGTGAACCAGATGATTAAGCTTAATGGAACAACAACATTATACTGAAATTAGTAAATGCATGCCTAAAGCAGTCTACAACCTTATATTTGTTATTGTTTAACTTCTGTCTTTTACAGTGGCTATGATAAATGACATCACAGAAGGGAGAAAAAAACAATTAAAATCAGAGTATTCAATAAGCCATTAATGTCTCATTGATGTCACTATAAAGTCACTAGCAGTGTCATTGCTTCTGTCTTCCCCCAAGAAAATGTCAGAAGGGGCCAGCACTGTGAGGGAAATGGAGGTGGGAAAGGAAAAAGAATAAAAATAGTCACTGGAGCCTGTTACATTTCAGAGTATATAGATACTATACTTTTGAATGATGAAGTTTAATGGCTTCACTATTGGAGACTGTTGGGGTAAAAAGATATTTCCACAAGTTTTCAAATATTAATAAATCAAGTCCAAGACCTCAAATATATTCCCAGTACATATTATTTGGTTTCTCTTCCTTTTATGCTGTCTTAAGTGTATATTCTATAAGTCATCAAAATGGTCCATCTTGACAGCTAAAAATAAGTTTCAGATTACTTTTATCTGAATAAATCCTTTGACCAGACATAGTTTTTAGCCACTAAATGTGCTGTAATTATTTGTCAGTGGTTATGATAAATGTCCGGTCAAGGACAAATATAGATAATTGAATATAGACAAATAAATCAGAGTTGCAGACACCAATTTTTGCCCGATGAAAACATAATGGGTTTGATATCAGATTTTACCACTGAAGATGCACTGTATTTGTTATGACCTATATGTAGAAAGTATGTTTCAAAGTCATCAGAGCCAAGTTCTCAAAGCAAGCATATGAACTGACATTCATTTATAAGGGAATAAATGGTCACATAGACTTACAACTGAGGGTATATTTGACTTAGGTAATATTTAACTAGCTGTTGTTTTGAGTTAATTAAATGGCTTTTTAATGCTCTTTTCAATCTTTAGAAACTGATGAAAAAAATTAAACTTCCTCTGGGGGTGCATTTGATGGGCTAGGAAGCTGACCAGAGTCATAGAAGTAGAAATGATATTCAGTCTGCTTGCTTCATTTTACAGAGAAGGAAACTGATGTCCAAAAGATGTGACCGGGTCACCTAATGGCAGATCTGGGACCAGAATCCAAGATTCTTGGTTCCCAGTACAGGGTAATTTCCCCCGAAACCACATTATTTTTTCTATAGTCATATTTTTAAGATTTCCTTGGCACATATCTATTTACATTATTCTCTTTATTTTTTTCACTTTATGCAATTCCCCTTAGATTTCTTTTCCTTTTTTTTCTACCTGATTGCTTCCAAAAGGTATAAATAACCAAAACACTTTTATTTTTCCCAAAACTAGTAAACAAATTTATAACCACCTAGAGAAATTCAAGTGGAAACCCTATCTATACTTGAGGGTTCTTTGGCTTTTGACATTTTCTATCATGATATCAGCATAAGGTGGTAAATAAATCTCAACATGGAATCACTGATCTGATAATCAAAAAGGACCTGAGAGTCATTTAGCCCAACTTGTACTTCACCAAAATCCTCCTATACGATGTCCACCCTGTGTTTAAAGACCTCCAGGCTAAGAAGAAAACGCTTCCTCTGGGAGCAGCCTGTTCTGCTTTTGAATAGTAAGGAAGCTATCCTTACAAAAAGCCTAAATCAGCCTTCCTACACCTTCTACCCATTCTTCCTATTTTTCCACCCTCTTGGGCCAAGCTGAATTAGTTTAATTCTTTTGCATAACAGTCCTGCAGATATTTGAGGATTTAAATACCCTTCCAGTCTTCCCTGAGTCACAGTAACTAGTTGTTTGCTCTTGGACGAATCATATAAGCTCTCTCTATCCCTCAGTTTCCTTACAGATTAAAATGAGTGGGTAGAGTAGGAGATTCAATTCAATGGACATTTTTTAAGTGCATCATGGTAGGCAGTAAGGATGCAAAGATAAAACAAAATACAAACCAAGCCCACAAGAAGGTCTAGCTCCTCGGATCCTTATTTTTAAATTTCATGCCAGTAGCAACTTCAGTTATTCAATTGAGTATTAATTATCTTCTGGTGAGATTTATGTAAGAATTAGACCAGTATTGACTTTTTTTTTTAAGCACAGAGACTTTTTTATTCAGTTCTAAATATTCTCCCTTCCCCTATCCCTTTGCCCATCCATTGAGAAGGCAAGAGGAACAAAACCCATTACATATATACAAATAAGTTTTACAGTATGTGTATGCAAAACAGATTTCTGCATTATCCATGTTGAGATAAAGAGAGAGACAGAGACAGAGAAGGAGACAGGGAGACAGAAAGAGAATGTTTTAATCTACACTTTTAGTCTGTCAGTTCTTTATATGGAGGTGGATAGCATGTTTCATCATGAGCCCTTTGAGCATAGCCTTTTCCATTAAAACTACACAGCAGAATAATAATGTGCTGCCTTTCTATACCTGCATGGTAGTACTGAACATTTAGTTTCAAATTCAGTTCTTCTAAATAAAAACCAGCCTATGACTGGTTTTAGATTATCTGATGGGCTGTGAAATACTTTTGGTGCTTTTCTGTGGCAAAAATGTGAGAAAATAAGAGAACACCAGTGACCTGAAACTTCGGAAACTCTGCATCAGGGTTTATTTAGCACCCTAATATCTGTAACTGGTATGAAAACCTTAAATTTTAAAGTTGCCCCTTGAAATTAAAAAAGAGCCCCCAAAACCTAATATGGTTAGCTGCACCATTAGGGTTAGGACAAGAACATATTAGTGTTTCGTCTTTTTCTGTTTTTCCCAATCAGCAAGCATTTATTAAATGTGTTATGTCCTATGTGCCAGGCATCATACTCAGTGCTAGGCAGTCGAAGGCAAAAATAAAACAGTCCCTGCCCTGAGGAAGTTTTCATTCTATCTCATTTTTTAAAATGAGAATTCAATACATACTTCATAAATCAAGTAAGTGCTAATGGGGAGGGCCATCATAAGTCTTCCAGGTCTGAAGACCTGGAGTCAGGAAAAATTAATGAAAAATACTAGTACAAAAATTAGAACTAGTACAAAGAATTAAAATGATTTAAATGTGTAGTTTGACATTTATTTTTAAAGTGAATATGAGAAAAGGAGACTGGAGAAAAGGAGACTAGTGATTAGTCTCCTCTACTTCCTTCTTTTCTCATACTTTTAGCAAAGAAAAAGTCCCCCAGGTTCCAGTCTTGGCTATACTAGTGACAAGCTTTGACCCAGAGCAAGTCATTTAACCTTTCTCGTTATCATTTTTCTTTTCTATAAAATAAGGAAGCTGAGATCTAGGTGGTGCTTTTCAGATTCAACTCTTCTAGGATTAGAAATATTCCTCATCTAATCATGAGGTGAATTTACTAGGGAGGATAAAAAAGAACAACAAAAAAATGCAATATAGTAGAAAATTTTAGATGAGAATGAATGAGTGCTAACAAATTACATGTCATAATCTTGGGAGATTTTTTTTTTTAATTTACCTTTTTTTCCTTTTCCTATATAGTTACATTCAGACCAAGATAGAGGAGATGGATCACTTAAATATATCCTTTCAGGAGATGGAGCTGGAGATCTCTTCATTATTAATGAAAACACTGGGGACATCCAGGCCACCAAGAGACTAGACAGGGAAGAAAAGCCTGTGTATATCCTTAGGGCACAGGCTATAAACAGAAGAACAGGAAGACCAGTAGAACCAGAGTCTGAGTTCATCATAAAAATCCATGATATCAACGATAATGAGCCCATGTTCACCAAGGATGTTTACACTGCTACTGTTCCTGAAATGTCTGATGTTGGTGAGTGATATCTTAATCTTCAGCCCAATTTATCTGTTTACTTTATCTATAAAAATTTAATCTGATCAAGAAACCTAACTGGTTAGATTAATTAAAAAGCTAAATTTTTAAAAATAAATGTCCCCAAAAATCTCATTTAAAGTCCTTTTAAACTGATCCTTGGTTCTAAGTCTTGGTCCAATGTGCAAGAGTATTGTCCTTGACTTATCTGCCATGAATCATGGAAGAGAATGCTTCCTGTAATGCATTAGAAGAATGGAGTTGAGTAAAGGAGATAGACAATGAAAGGAAGAGGTTCCTGATCCTCTTTCATACCGGAATTGAAAACTCTTCTCCCCTCCTTGCTTCCTGATATTCCTCTGAGTCTGGGACACAGGAGCTTTCCCACTCTCTGCAAAATACATCTATCACCTTCTCCTGATTATCCCACTCACACTCAGTCTTCAGCACCCCAAAAGGACAATAGGGAAAGGGCATCCCACAGCTCTCAAGATCAGAACGATTGCTAATGGAAAACAAAATCCCAAAAGTACATTGATAGACTGGGCCATTACATAAATAAATATCTGTTTTTGAAATAAAACCGAAGAAGGCTTTTTAAAAATGCATGATATATAAATGATAATCAGAGGGAATGTTGTTCAGTGATCAAGGAGGTTAAGAGAAAGTCACAACACTTGACATGTTACATTAATATTTTGTTCATGATTCTCACTACCAATGTGAAATCTAATACCTAGGGATTTCTTTCTTCTAAATTAGGGGAAGGTAAAAAGGAAAGTTAAATTAAGAAAAACTCTGCTATAACTGCAAACCTTATCAAGAGACCTCCTTTGTGATGCCACTAGAATCAAAGCAACTTGTATGTTTGCTTTGTAGTTTCATTAAAATTTACAGCCCCATTTTAGAATGTTGAAATAATAAAAAGAAAGCTCTTTATAGCCTTTATGGAAGTGAGATCATAAATCCTATAGTCTACTTATGCAGATCTACCAGGCTTGAAACAATTCAGTTCACGAAAATAGTGTGTAACTTAGCAGAATTTTAGCTATGATAGGTTTCATTATCTCCATTTTTTTCTCTGGGAAACAGAATTCATGAGCAAAATAATTGCAATATGAATGAAAACTTTTTGGAGAGAAGGTAATTCAGGAAATAACATCCCCTCATGATTGGATTAAAGAGCAATAACAATGAGTGTCAGACTAATGAAAATTATTATCTTTATTTTTGTTATTAACATCCTATGAAATACATTAAAGGGCCATAAATGAGTAGGTGTAAGTAGAGAAAGAAAGTGGTTCTCACCAATTAAAAAAAAAGATTGATCAAAGAATAACATTTATTAGGGTAATCAAAAGTTACTCTCAGAAACTAAGTTCATTTCAGCCTACTTTTTTCCTTTTTTTTTTTTGTTTTTGGCTAGGCAATGGGGTTAAGTGACTTGCCCAGGGTCACACAGCTAGTGAGTGTCATGTGTTTGAGTCCACATTTGAATTCAGGTCCTCCTGACTCCAGGGCCGGTGCTCTATCCACTGCGCCACCTAGCTGCCCTCATTTCATCCTAAACAGGCATAAAAACATTATGAATTTACTTCTCCCCTTTGTACCCTGAAGGGCAGTAGTAGTGTACCCAAGGGTGACTCATTAGAAGTTTGTGAATAATCCATGAATGTAAACTATTCTCGAACCTAATTATATATGTAGCTCATAACACACTTCTTGAGACAGTGGGTTTTATATTTTTTACTAGCAACTGAATAAAGTTGTTCTCCCTTTATTTAATCAAAAACTACTTCTTTTCATGGGTCAAGCTATGCCTCCTAGTCTTAGTGTCCCATATCTTAGTGAGCAAGTTGATATTCTTCCTCATCTGTATCTTTCTCAGTTTGACAGATTTTGACATATATTGTTTGAATCCTCATATTTACTAAATCTTAGAATGTTAAAGTTGGAAGGTACACTTGAGGTCATCCAGTCCAATTTTACAGAAAAGGAATGTTAATTGACTTGCCTGAGGCTATATAGCGATTTAGCACTTCTTCCCACCAATTTCCTTGTATTGAAAGTGTATACATTTTTTATTGTTGTTTCCCCAAAATGGAATGTAAACTCCTTGAGGTCAGGGACCATTTCATTTTTTCCTCTGTATCTGCAGTGCCTGGTACATTGTAGGAACTTAATATTTGTTTGCTGAATAACAGAATTGGTGATAGACTAATATCTAATCCCCAGTACAGTTCTCTTTCATTATATCATCCTTGTTGAGACACAGAGAAGTACAAATATTTTAAATTTACATTCTTAAGGAAACTGTACCATCCCTCTGTTTATCTAAATTGCCATTCCCCAAACATTTCCTAGCTGTTAGTAATTCGTACTTTACTTACTGCACACTAAATTATGACATAGTGTGGTTGTGTTCAAGGATGAGATTTTGCTTTCACTTGATGTGTGTCTAGCTTTTAAAAATGTAATATCCTATCTCTTAAATGAACATAAATTCATTTTTCTTTCATTCCAGGCACTTTTGTTGTTCAAGTCACTGCAACTGATGCTGACGATCCCACCTATGGGAACAGTGCTAAAGTAGTCTACAGTATTCTCCAAGGACAACCCTACTTTTCAGTTGAATCTGAGACAGGTTAGAAGTTCTTACCATTCAATCCCTTACAATATAACTAATTTAAATAACATGTTAAACCAATCTAGTATATGTTATATAAAAAACAAAGTGCTTACATCTTCCTCAAAATAAAACAAATGTGCAAATGTGATACCTGAATTATTTTAATCAAAAAAGCAAAGTGTAATAAATGTAATTAAAATGTTATGTATAAACCCTCTTCCAACCATTTCAAAATAAAAATTACACGTAATTTTAGTTATTTGTTTATGATGGAATGGGACTGAAAGCCAAGACTTTCCCTGTGGATCAAAGGAAATAGAAGAATTCTCCCTTTGAACATTCATTTTTTTAGCATTTTTACCAAATTTAACAAACTGTCTTATGATAGCTAGATTCTTAAATGGAAATTATTTTAAATATATTATTTCTGAGTTTGGTGAGTTTAAGTAACTTATGCAAAGTCACACAGTATCAGAGATAGGATTCCAACTGAACTCTTCCTGACTTTAAATCTAGCACTACTGCCACTGTTCCAGACTGGATATGACCTTCAAGAAAGTTCAATAGAAAACCAGAAGGGTGAGGTGACAATGGGATAAAAAACCCAATGATTATTTAGCTTATGTCTAAATAGTTGAAGGATCAAATTATGGCAAACAGCTGTTTACCTCTCCTAAAGCCAATATCAAAAAAAAAAGTTTGAACTCTGAAGTAAAGGGTCCATTTAAAAAAAAAAAAAAGAAGGGTTATGGTAAGAAATACTTGTGGGGCAACTGGGTGGCTCAATGAATAAAGTTCTAGCCTCAGAGTCGGAATACCTAAGTTCAAATCTTGCCTCAGACACTTGACACTTACTAGCTGTGTGACCCTGGGCAAGTCACTTAACCCCCAATGCCTAAGCCAAAAAAAAAAAAGAAACAAAGAAAGAAAGTAATAGTTGCGTTGCTACAACATATTACCAAGGAAAAATAAATCATATTCCCTGGTGATCTTTGATAGAGTGTTAACAATGTGAGATAATACTCCTCTCAGAGGACAAGCTGACTTTTTAAAATCTTTCCAAACTAAATTTTCTATGATTCTCTGATAATAATACATCCCTCCACTACTGAGAGCCCAGCCTCTAATCATCTATAGGAAAATTTTAAATATTCTAACATTCTAATGACAATAGTAATGATGAACATGGTGGTGGTTCGCATTTACACAGGTCTTAACAGTTTTCAAAGGTAGGTAGTGTAAGTTTTATTTACCTCCAATTTATAGATCTCCAGTTCAGAATGCTGATGGAGTTGACTTACCTATCTGTTAACGAAGATAGAAGTGACAGAAATGGCACTCAAACTCAGGTCTTCTACCCACAATTTAGTGATTTTTTTTCACAACTTTGAGGAAAATGTTGCCATTTTTTTCCCAGCTTTGATTCGGGAAATCCTAAAAAGTATGTTCATTATATTAGGCATTAAGAGACAGCATTGTGTAATGAATAGCGTTCTAGAGTAGGAGCCAGGATGACCTTGATTCAAATCTTCTTTAAATACTACTCAGTTGTGACCCTGAGAAAATAATTTAACCTGTCTTCTGGGCTTTGATTTCCCTATCTGTAAAATAGAATTTATAATAGAACTTGCCTCACAAAGGTGTGAGGATCTAAGGAGATAATGCCTGTAAAGGACTTTGCAAACCTGAAGAAGCACTATGTGATGCTAGGTAGTATAAGACACATTTAACTGTCAGCCAATTAAATGAGAAAATGGTGTAAGTCAGGAGAAAAAATTAAAGGATTTAATAAGATCAATGTAATATGTGACCTTGCTTAAGATAAGTGTCATATATTATTTCTGGATGTCATATCCTAGCATCCTAAAATGCCACATGGAATTTATCATAATTTGATGACCTGAATTGTGACACAATATTTTTACTAGCCGTAGGTAATAATTATATAGTGATGAATCTTTTGATGCATTTTAGAAATCAATAGTGTCTACATGTCTCCCCATTTCTGAATTCTAATATTTGCAGGCATCATCAAAACAGCATTGCTCAACATGGACCGAGAAAACCGAGAGCAGTATCACGTGGTTATTCAAGCTAAGGACATGGGAGGCCAGATGGGAGGCTTATCTGGGACCACCACAGTGAATATCACCCTCACTGACGTGAATGACAATCCTCCACGTTTTCCTCAGAGTATGGATACTTGACAGATTAAAGTTCTTGTAAAGCCCTGTTATAAACTGTGTGCCATGGAACTGATTTTTCATTTCAGTTATTATATAAGGAGCCCAATGCTTACTGTCACTGAAAAGATTTAAGTGTGTTGTCCACACTTAAGTAGATGGTGATGACTTTTGTTTCTGATATTTTATATTATATAATATATGTTATGTAGTATTAATAATTATATAATTATATGTAACATAATTGCACATTATATAACATTATAATTCTATAATAGTGTTTGTATTAGTGTTTTATGTTAGGTGATGATTAGCATTAGAGACGAACAGTGTAACTAGTCATTTAAGAGAAACATCTTTGTTTTTATCTTCCTCATCAAACAGACTCTACTACAGGCAAAAATCTGTGACTTCAGAATATATGTACAAATATACTACTGACCACTAAGGAATTTTTTATTTATGTTTTATGGATTTTAGCCAATTATAGAATTTTATTTAATCCTCACAATGTCTTCAGGCAAGGATATATTATGATTTTTAGCTTTCTAATAGTAGTAGCTGGACCATGAATAAAAAAAATTGTATCCTTGTTTTACTCTGTCACTTATTAGCTACATAAACTTGGACAAGTCACTTTCCTTCTCTGGGCCTCAGTTTCCTTCTTGGAAAGAAGATCATCTCAGACATTCTTCATAGCTTTAACTTTTTTTTATTCTATAATTTTCACATAGGTGTAGCTGGATTTTAGTCTATGTATCATAATTTTTTTTCTATTCTGTGACTGATTTGAGTGGTGACATTGGAAATTAGAAAGTGGTTTCTTCTTTTAAGAAAAAAATTTTCTCTACCCATGAACTTCTGATAAAATTATTGTGTCCTATACACATACATGTGTACAGGATGTCCCAAAAGTCTTAGTGCTATTTTAGCTATTAAAGTTTATGCATATGTGTGTATGAATACATACATATATACTTTATCTTCACATACACAGTAAGGATTTTGTATTATTAAAAGTTAGACAAACATCAAGTGAGAAATTTTACTCTTATATACAACTATATAAGTATGTACATATTTGTACATATGCATATTATACCTCCACATAAACATTCATAGATTTTGTAGTAGTCTCAAAGTATTGAATTTATATTGAATTTTATTTTCTATCTCTTTAAATGAAATGATTTAGTAATTCAAAGGCTTTTGTTTCCCTGAGTGTTCCATTCTAAGCAGTCCTAATACCTGCAGTCAGAATCTACTGAAGCTACTCTCTGGACAAGAAAAATACTCAGTCTTTTAGAAAGGTTCATTTCAAATTTCGGTACATTTTTCTTAATAGTCATGAAAGTACAGGTTTATAGGTGAAGGGAACCCAGATTACTGTTCTGAGAATAAATGACATTTCTAGAGCACTTCAAAGTCTGCAGAATACTTTACATTCTTTACTACTTTTGAGCCTCACAACAACTCTGTGTGTATTTACTGTGGCTGTCCAGCTGTTATCATTCCCCATTTTAGAGATGAGAAAAGGAGGCTCCAAGAGGTTTCAGTGACTTGTCCAGGGCCATGGAGTCAGTAAATTGCAGAGACAGAATTCATAGCTAAGGTTTTTCTTTTTCAAATCCTTCCCTCTTTCCATTATATATTGATTCTTACCACTTTACCCCCAATTTAATTTAACAAGAATTATTATGCATCTATTTTGCATGAGGCACCCTATTTGGCACAACCTTCAAAGAACTTATGTTCATTTCATGTTATCTCTCTTTCTATCTCTTTTAGGCACTTACCAGTTTAAAACTCCTGAGTCAGCCCCTCCAGGTACACCAATTGGCAGAATCAAAGCAATTGATGCTGATGTTGGTGAAAATGCAGAAATTGCATACAGCATCACTGATGGAGAGGGTTTAGACATGTTTGATGTCATCACTGACCAGGAAACACAGGAAGGAATTATCACTGTCAAAAAGGTGAGATTTTGTTCAGCTGCCTTTCTCTCTTTTCAAAGTTGGTGAAACTATGCTATAATGGTTCTCTGTATTACAGGTATATTACATAATGATCTTTTTATAAATGATTACTGTCTGTTTTCATTGGTGGCTGCTGAACATTGGCAATAAACCTCTTTTAACATACATTGAAACCTCTTTAGTTTAGGAGCCCTGAATAAACATCTGGCCTTAGGCAGGCATGATGTACCCAGGGTATTAAGAACAAATTCATCAGGATCATAAAAATAAATAACACATTATTAGTCTGGAGTTGCAATAGCCTATAAAATATGTTTCACCACAGAATACTTCTAAAAATCTTTTGGTCACCAAATATGGCCAAGGCACTTATGTGTGTATAGGCACTTACATCCATCACAGTACTGCCAGTTGAACATAAAGATGCACTTCTGTTATTTTGTATCACATTTTCCCATTATCTGTTTTTTTGGTGACTTAGCCCAAAGAATGATAGAAATAAGTTACACATGCAGTACAAAGAGTGTGATGTAGATTTTAAGGCAGGTTGTAAACTGAGGCTGGAAAATCACTGCTCTCTGATTTTGTGATTTGTTCAATATGGCTTTCTTTTATTGGTAATGACTTAAAGTCTTTTCTGCTTTTTGTAAGTTTGCCATCCTGCCTCAGAAATATCAGTGCTCTTGGCTTCAAGTAACATGAATTTCGAGCTCTGCAGCTTTGAATTACATGTTCCATTATCTGAAAACACACTAAAACATGTTTTGATTCTTCTCAGACCAGCATTTTACACCATAACACGATTAGTAAACCCATTAGTGAACATTAATGTTCTTTAGTCTCTAGTACCTTATACCTTATCAGATGCAAACTGGAATTTTATCTAGTAGACTGAATGATTTTCAGTAAAGGATTAAGTAATTGAGCTCATGATGAGGCTTGTCTCTTTTTGCCAATCTTTCCATTCTAAAGAAGTCAATATAGATTATGAATTTTTTTTGTTTTTTTTTTTAAATCATGAAACAGTTACTTGTCCTAAGCAATTTGTACAACTACTGTCATTACTGTCTTTGTTTAATGAGGGGACTGGGGAGGAGGGGGAGGAGAGTGTCCTGCAGTACTCCTTAGAATATCATTCAGAACGTTTCATCTCACTACCTGATAAAATTTTGTATCTTCTGTGTCTGTGCAGTGGAACTGAGAATCAACCAGGGATTCTGCCTCTAATTCTCAGGCATTTAACCTTCCTAGGCCTTGGTTTCTTCATCCAAAAATGAGGAAGGTGGGCTGAATGGCCTCTGAGATCCCCTTCAGTTCTAGATCTGCGGTTTTTGGACCCTGTAGGGGAGCAGCACATAGCTGGCAGCCCACATGCCCAGGGTGGTTCATGAGCAGGTTACAGTCTGCCTTTTCATTACCAGTAAAAACTGTGCCTGTCTTTGAGTATATGTTCATGCATTTCCCTTCCCACCTAGGATACAGCATCAATCTCTCCCTGCTTAGGAGATGGCCTTTAGGAACTACCCTAATCCCAGACACTGAAAGGAAAGGGGTTACCATCTTGACACACTACATTTATAAGGAAAAATTTTATTTGATGTTACCAATAGGGAGAGAATAGGGGCAAGGGGAAATCACCTGACACAGTTAACCCCATTAATTTTTAAAGCTTCCTATTTGTCGTGTTACTTATGTTACTTTTTAAGCAAATTATATAGAAACCAAATTATGTTTCTTGTTATTGGGTGGCTGCAATACAAATGTCAATTTTCTTCCAAGGCTTTGGACTTTGAAAAGAAAAAACTGTATACCCTCAAAGTGGAAGCTTCCAATCCACGTGTGGAGCCCCGTTTCCTCTACTTGGGCCCATTTAAAGATACAGCCACAGTTAGGATCATGGTGGAAGACGTCGATGAACCTCCTGTGTTTGGCAAACTAGCCTATGTTCTACAAATAAGAGAAGATGCTCAGATAAACAGTACAATAGGCTCAGTGTCAGCCCAGGACCCTGATGCTGCCAAGAATCCTGTCAAGTAAGCAGAATACTGTTATATTGTCTTTCTGTGATCGATCTCTCTTTATCCCCAAATCTGCCCACATTTTATTTCAGTACACCTTCTGTTCACAGGCTGAGAACAATAACAACAACAACAGAAGGCATAGTATCTGTGTATAGTGCTGGGGAAAGAAAGAGTGCTGATTTAAAATTTGCCATACAAGAAAATGAACCTGATATTTCTTGTACCTTGCTTTTTCCCTGTTCAAAAATTATGCTCCAATGGAAGCTATATTAATACTTTCAAACAGGCCAGTACATGAGAGTGCTGGAATCACAGACTAACAGAGCTAAAATGAAGCTTGAGAAAGCTGAGAATCTTCACCTTTTGGCAGTGGTCAGAATGATATAATGATTGAACCAAATTCTCAGGGTCTAAGTAACTTCCTGGAATTGTGCTAAGTAATTTGGAGGGCTAAAGTAATAGAGGTAAGATGCAATGGATCCATGTAAAGCATTTTTAGTATCCAAAAGTAAAGCATGTTTTAGTATCCAAAAGATACTCTGTGCTCTAAAAATATCTTACTTAAGAGAGAGCCTAACCTTAAAGGGAAAATAAAATTGATTATGCAAAATGCCAAGATAGTATATTTAAACACGTTGAGTTATACCAGTCTTACACATAAAGGGCAGTCATTAAGATCCAAGATCAAAGGTTCAAACCACACTTCAAAGTACAATTATGGTTATAGTAGCATTGTTGAGAATTCCTTGTATTTTTGTGGCACATTAAAATTTTAAAAGCTGTTTTAACAAATACTGATTAAGCACCTGCTACATGCAAAGTACTGTACTAAGTATTGGGGATACAAGACAAAACAAATTAAAAACAACTACAGTTCCTGCCCTCAAGACAGATTAGCATGCTTGCCGTCTCACTTGAAAGTAGAAATGGGACTTCTGTTGCTTTTTCATTTTTCTCTAGGAAACTAACCTTAAGCTTTTCAGGATTACAGAGTATTACTTCCTGCCATCCTTCCCCTTTCTCTACCCCCCCCAACCCTTAAGCCTTAAATTACTGCTGCCCAAGAGAGAAAGGGATCAGTAGCAGATGTGTCCTAGGCTAAGAAAGTATAAGCAGAAAATCAGTGTATATACCTATAAAGTCTGGTGCCCATGGCAAAGTAATCCAAATATACCACATCATTCCTAATAAATAGATAAGATCAAATTCGGACTTAACTAGCAGTATTACATATGATCATTTCCCAATTTATTGATTTCTCATTTATCAGTCAGTATCATAGTAACAGAGAAATAGTCTTTTAGTTGTCCAAGTTTTTGTCAATATGAAGTAAGTTTTTATATCTATGCTTTTATTTGTCTCAAAAATGCCATTTCTACCTCCTGCATTGTCCCACAAAGAAATAAGCAGCTGACCAAATCTGATCTGCTGAAAGCCAATTATGAGGATTTTTTTCCAGAAACCTTCCCTTGGTGCAATGGAATACATCAACATTGATTGTCTCTAATTTGTCCTGCATGTAGCTTGTTTGTACATAGTTGTCTTCATGTTGTCTACCACTTCAGTCTGTTCACTCCATAGGAGCAGGGATTGTCTTTTGCCTTTCTTTGTATCCAAACTGGCACTTAGCACAGTTCCTGGCACATAGTAGTTGCTTAATAAATGTTTATTGACTAACTGACCAATTTATATTGCATTGAAATATTTGCTAGGGCAAGATTGGTAAGGAAAGTCATGCCAATATTGATATTTATGCTAATTCCTCTCAAAATATTTGTTGTTATGTCACGTAGGTATAACCTCACTAAAAGAGAATGCTTTTATATCAAAAATTTTAACTGAAACCCCCAATGAACTTCCATGAGAGAATCTTCTAAAGAGCACCTTTATAAAAATGTACTACAGAATATTCACACAAATACTCATCCTCTTCCTCACCCACAAATTATCCTGGCTGCTCATGGTATCAGATGAGAAGCTGCTGAAACTTGGGAAGTAATACAATACAAGACATACATAGGCTATACTTGGCAGGAATATCTATCTGCCAGAGCCTCGAGTGGCTTGGTTGCCAAATTTAGTAGTGGTAGAGTATGTAATTAATCTGCCTGAATGGATTAGTAGCTATCTTAATGAACATAAAATGGTGAAGGGTAAGGAGGAGAGACAGAGAGAGAAAGAGAAAAAGAAAGAGAGGGAAAGGGAAGGAGAGGACATGTTATTGCATAGTTATGTGTGTAAATATTACATAGGTACATATATGAGTATATATGTATTATTTCATACTTTGGGTTTATCAATAATTTTAAAATTCTCCACTGGAAAAATGTTTTTTGAGGGAAGACAACAGCTAGACAGTTTTGGTATTTCAAAACTGATTCCTTTCTTTCTCTTTAAGATCAAGAACCCCCCTGGACCTCTTTACTAACATTTTGGGTCTGAGAATCATAGGTCTTGGAGCTGGGGATGACCTCTAATACAACCTCCTCATTTTATGCATTATGCTTAGCGTATAAAACCTGAGGCTGGGGATAGAGAAGGCCAATAATAAATAAGGAAGAGTGATATCGTATTTGTGTACAAGCTATTAAATATAATGACCAAAGAATCTTGACCATGTCATTTTTTGTGGAGCAAGGAAATATTTTTAGATATCTATTAACATATGTTACTGAATTTATAAATATCTATTGTCCCTTTCATTTATTGCAAAGTGAAGTTATCTTTATGCTCAAATAAAATAAAAAATAATATATTAAGTTTGATACTGTCATACTTGCTTTTAGTAAGTTTTAATCCATAAATGGAATCAATGCCAATTTAATCAGATCTGAGCTAATCATTTTAAATAATAAAAAATAAAATACCAGTAAAAAGAGAATGCAATTCCAATCCAGTTCAATAAAAATATCATTCAAGGACTTGGCTAATTTAATGTCTCTTTCACAGGTCATTCATTAATGATAAAAAATAAATCCCATCAAGAAAAATATTAGCATTTATAACAAAGTGAGCAGTGAATTGTGATAGCTAAACTATTCTAACAGGAGAGTTTGGTTATATTTTCAAACTAAAGCTGTGAGTGGTGAGCAGTTCTCCAATAAAAATAAAAATTCATTTTCTTATCAGGCAATTATACGGAAGTAAGGTCATCATTGAGCACTCATGATAGTTTCATGTGAAGGAAAAATAAGTAATTGAGTAACTTTACCCTAATCTCATATCTATCTAGACCATTATTTTAAAATATCTTCTGTTATTTAAGTTTTAGGAATCCATCCAAAATAATGTAACCTCAAAAAACGATTATTAAATGTCTATTGTGTGCAGAACAATAAAATGCTGGGGAAAATATAAAGGATAAATAAGACATAGTCCCGGTGCTCAAAAGGCTTCCATTCTAGAAACTGGAGATGGCTTGTACAAACCTAAATATAACATAATTCAGAATGTGCTAAGTGCCTGAATGAAGCATGAAGTTCCATGAGATAGATGAGGGAGAAATCAGCATAGACCTCAGGAAGAAAGGGATATTTAATATGAGAAGATAGGTCATGATGGAAAAAAGGATGTTCTAGAAACAGAAACAGTGAGTAAAAATATGGAAGCGCATAAGAATGGAAGTTGTTTTGGTCCATTCCACTCTGGCTGCTCTGTAGAATACAGAAGGGGAAAGATTAGGCAATAAGGCTAGAAAGGTAGACTGGAGCTAGACTACAGTAGACCTCAATGTCAAGTTTTGATCTTGATATCATCACATTTCCTATATGCTGCTTCTTTTTTCTTTTCTTTTTTTTTTAATTTTCAGTTAACGGAACAAAATAAGTATTTCCATGGACAGTTCCAGAAGACAGTTTTTATACACTCAAATATATGTTTTCCTTCTAAATAACAATCATGATCAAAATGTTGCCATATTACTGTCTTCAAATTCCAGCAACATCTCACTTACCTAGGGATTTCCAGGAATATAAAATACTTAGAAAGCAGCCAAGAACATAGAAGTGGAAAAGGTGTGAGTGACTTTTGAGAAAACAAAGTAACTGTTAGAAAACCAATTCATTAAAGCCATATATCAGTTCATAGTATTTTGAATCTGGAGCAGGGATTAGGCAAAGATAACTAGTCTGCTCATTTCCTTTAATACTTTTCATTTCCTTTAAAACCTAGAGACACAGGTTAAGTGACTTGTTCAAGAGTCTGGGTCTTATGATTTCTAGTCCAAGACTTTTTTTTCCAAAATATATTTCCCATAATTATATAAGTAGGAGATACTTTTTAGGCCCTCACTATGAACCTATTTATTCTTGTTTTATACACAATACTCATAAACATGTCATCTGGCTTCTAAACTCATGGCAGATTAAAAGCAGAAAATTAAACAATTGTAAAGGGGTAGCTAGAGGCTGATGCAACGACCTTAACCCGCTGCCATCAAGGAAGATAAAAAATTGTAAAAAGCAGACAAAGAACTCATAAAGCATAGCCATCTGGGACCATCAATATAGAAGCAAATAGACTTAGATTCTACTATTAATATGTACTGAAGGTATTAATCAGCAGTATACCATAATTCGTGTATTCATAATTCATTCCCTCAAACTCAACATGTCTTAAAATGGAACTCATGATTTTTACTCAAAACCTAACTGTCCCCTTCATACTGACCTATTGCCCTAGGTGGTATTATCATTCTCATAGTCACTAAATCTTGGTCCCTTTACCATGGCCTATCAATTCTTCCTTTGTAATATGACATTCCATATTTCAAGTCCCCTTACCAACACTCTTTTTGAGCACTTATTTCCTTAAAGCATGGACCATGTTAAATTCTTTTTTACTGGTTCCCTGACTATATACCTATATACATACATACATACATACGTGTGTGTGTGTGTGTGTGTGTGTGTGTGTGCGCGTGTGTGTATGTATTCTCTCCCCACTATGATCAATCTTCCTTCTCACTGGCAGAGTAATTTTCTTCTAATACTATCTAAACCACATCACTCCTTTAACTCAAAAACACCTTCAGTAACTCCTACTATGTACAGGATAAAGGCTAAGGTCATTAAATAAGTATTCAAGGACCCCCACCATACAATGCCAATCTATTTCTCTAATTACCTCTCACTACTCCCTAACATGAACTGCTTGATGTAGTAGGGGAAAAGAGCTGGATTTAGAATTAGAAAAATTGGGTTCAAATTCTTCTTTTGATGATTACTGGTTAATGACCTTGGGCAAGAGACTAAACTTCTCCTAGTCTCCATATCTTCATCTATAAAATGATTAATAATATTACTACTATATAGCAGCTATGGTTGTGAAGAAGGTATTTTTCAAATCTTAAAATGCTAAACCAATGTGAATTGTTGTTATTATTAATCTACTACAAGCCTCAGAGTTAACTTATTGTCTCCTGACAGTTCCTCTGTTCCTACCTCAGTACCTTTATCCCTTCCATTTCTCCCTACCTCAAATACCCTTCTCTACTTACATAATCTTTGCCTTCCTTCAATGTACAGCTCAAATGCAGTCTCCGCCATAAAACCTTTCTTGACACCACATGACGATTTTACTATGTGTTTTTTAGTTCGCTTCATATATCTATATAAATTTAAATGGTATATATATATAGATGTTTCATATAAATTTATGAATACACATGTATATATAAAATCAAACTTGCAGGCTATAAAACAAATTCACACAAATCACCAGTATTTTTATATTATATCAATAAAAACCAAGATAGAAAGAATGGAAAGGAAAGGAAAAGATAGGAAGAATGATTCCCTTTAAAATTACCATAGAACTTATAAAATACTTGGAAGCCTATGATTCTATATACATATAGTCTTCAGAGTCTATACATATGCATATATACATATATATATGAACTATATAAATGTAACTATAAATAACTATTCACAGAGTAGTTGGAAATAATTGGAAAAATTAGTAATTACTCATGGATGGAATAAAACAATATCATAAAAATGATAATACTACTTAAATTCGTTTACTAATTCAAAGCCATACTAATCAAACTACCAAAGAATTACTGTGTAGAACTAGAAAAAAATAATAAGAAAATTCATATGAAAGGAAAAAAACAGTCAAGAATCTCAAGAGAAAAAAAAAAGAAAAAAGGAAAAAAATAACCTCAAGAGAAATAATGAAAATAAATGGGAACAAAGGGAGTCCAGCAGAACCAGATCTCAAATTATACTACATCATGATAATTGTTAAAACAGTTTGGTATTTGTTTAAAAAATAGAAATCTACTAGAGGAACAGATTAGAAAGGAAGGAAAGAAACAAGCATTTATTAAGCACCTATATGACAGACACTGTGCAAAGAGCTTTACAAATATCATATCATTTGTATTCACAACAACCCTGGGAAGAAGGTGCTATTATTATCCCTGTTTTTAAGATGAGGAAAGTGAGATAGAGGTAAAGTGAATTTCCCAGGGTCACATAGCTAATAAGTGTCTGAGGCCGGATTTGAACTTCGGTCTCTCTGAATCCTGACCCATTGTATCTCCTAGCACACAAAATACAGACGCATATGTATCTAATACCCAAGTATTCAATAAACACAAAAACCTTCATTATTTAACAAAAATCACTGGAAAAATTGAACAGTAGTATAAAAGAAATTTGATTTAGATCAGTACTTTATGTTTCATAGAAAGATAGGCTCAGTGGATCCATCTCCTAGATATAAAAGTTCTCATCATTAACAAAGTAGAGAAATGTGGGAAGAAATTACCTATCAGACCTGCAGATGGGAGAAAAGTTCATGGTCAAACAGGAATGGAGAGGATCACAGAAGATAAAGTGGATAATTTCAATTATGTCAAATTTAAATGGTTTTGCATAAACAAATCCAATTAAACTAGACTTAAGAGGGAAATAATTAACTTGGAAAAAAATCTTTGTAGAAGGTTTCTCTATTATTAAGATATGTCCAAGATATATAAGGATCTGATTCCAATTTATAAGAAAAAGAGTGATTCCTCAGTTGATAAATGATCTGAAAACAGTTTTCAAGGGGAGAAATCTAGCCTATCTATACTCATGAAAAAGGCCCCAAATTACTGTTAATTAGAGAAATACACATTAAAGCAATTCTGAGTTTCCTTTCCCCCATGCCCATCAGAGTGACAAAGATGACAAAAAAGAAAAATGATAAACTTGGGATGAGTTGTAGGAAAATAAGGACAATGTACGTTTATATTGATGGGCCTGTGAATGGGTATAACTCATTTGAAATTTACATAAAGAGTTTGTAAACAGTGCATGCATGTCCTTTCACCCAGCTTTACCACTACTATGTCTATACCCAAAAGAGATCAAGGAGGAAAAGGTCCTCCTTTATGTATAATAATATTTATAGCAGCTCTTTTTGTGGTGGCAAAAAAAAAAAAGGAAATTGTGGGATGCCCATCAAATGATGAACAGCTGAATAAATTGTAGTATATGAATGTGATAGAAAACTATTGGGCTATAAAAAACAGGTAAAGAAATGATTTCAAAAAGATATAGGAAGACTTATATGAACTGATAAAGAGGGAAGTAGAACCAGAAGAACAATTTTTACTATAACATAATTATCATAAAAATGAACATTTTGAGGACTTTCACAAACTGATGAAGAATGAAATGAGCAGAATCAAGAGAACTATTTATACAATAGCAGCAATGTTGAAAACAAGCATTTTTGAAAGCTGTAAGATCAATAGAGTAACCATTTGTGATTCCAAAGGACCAATGATGAAACATGCTATGTATTACAGAGAAGTGATGTATTTAGGGTGCAAAATTTATATATACACACACATATATACATATGTGGGTATGAATGTGTATATATGTACATACATACATACATATATATATATATATATACAGATTTGTATGTGGCCATTGAGAGCATTTGTTTTCCTTGACTATGCATATTTGTTATAAGAAAATTTTTAATGGAATGGGAAGTGGCAGGGAGTGAAAAAGAGATTGCTGTTAATTTTTTTTAATAGACAATTGGGTGCTACTACAAATGTGAACTGTCATGTGCTTTCAGATGATGTCACAGCATTATTGGTTTAATTTCACTGCTTTACTTTGTTACAAGAGAACTTTCACAAAGTGGGCATAAAGTGTAAATATTTGTAATGTCAAATTATTGAAAAAAAGTATCAATAATTTTTTTTAAAAATCAGCCTGAAGAAAAAATACGTGACAGCTATTTTCAAGTATCTCAAAGGTCATTACATAAAAGAGAGATTAAATTTATTTTGCTTGGTCTCAAAGAGCAAAATTGGAGGGGGGGGGGGAGAGGAAGAATTGTGGAAATTAAATGAAATTAATTTGGGTATGGTAAAGGAAAAACTATATAGAACTAGCCAAAGTTCAATGTTCTGCCTCCAGAGGTAATCGAGACCTAGGCTAACTCTCCATGTTTAAGTCTTCCTGACTCCATCCTCCTTGGAGAGCTTCAAAGGCTGGAGATCCACTTGTCATGAATGCTATAGAAGATTCTTGCTCAGATGCCTGTTAAATTAGATGGCTTATAAGGACCCTTTCATCTTTGAGATTCCATAATCTTTTTGGGTAAAGACTTTGTCTTATAGTGCTCTATAATCTCAGGGCCTAGCAAACAATGTAAGTGCTGAATATTTTAAAAACCAGTTTATGATTACTCAATGATCCCCCAGTGGTGCCAAATGAATGTTATTATTCTAGAATATTTGATAATGCTTGTTAATCAAAATTCCATAGGCTGTGCCACATAGAAATTAATTATTAAAATATTAGTTTTCTTAAAATAGATTATGGGAAAAGTCTTATTAACTATAATAGACAAATGTTTAAAAGATATATTGTATGTGAAAGACAATTCAGTGACTTTCAACCCCATGACATTTAATATTGTCAAGGTATTAGAAGTTCAGGTAGAACAAAGTTCTGTGTTTTGGAATCACCACAACAGAAATGCTGTTCTTTCATCCAAGTTCAAGATAGTACAATTATTAAAAGGTCTCCTTCCAAATTTCATACAAAAAGACAAGTCATTGAAAATCCCCCAAGTTATTTGAATTATAGAGTTCATCTAAATCTATACTTTAACATGTCATTAGAAAGTGATGTTTAGAAAAATACTAGAAAGTAGTTTGGAGCACTCCTCTTAATGTGCATCTATACACTCTGGAATAGGAACCAACAATAAAATAATAACTCTGCTAAGTATCATGTGGTAATTTTAAGATATATTAGAACAGCAGTTAAGAGAAAATCATTTCTAAATTCTGCTCTCCATTTCAGGTATTCTGTAGATCGACACACTGATATGGACAGAATATTCAACATTGATTCTGGAAATGGTTCCATTTTTACTTCTAAACTTCTCGACCGAGAAACATTGCTGTGGCACAACATTACTGTCATAGCAACAGAGATCAGTAAGTCAGATCAAAATACTACAGGTGCCTCTCATTTCAGGAAGAGTCTTCTGACTAAGGGCTTGTGAAGAACAGTTGAAAGTTGTCACGTATAGGGATGATCCTACTTAATAACTCTTGAGGAAAAGAAGCACCATGAAAGATAGTCTGTAATGATTTTCTTCCTAGAGCATTTAGCTGCTTATACATGGAGAGGTAACCCAGAACTTTCAGTGGGAAGAAAACAAAGTTCTGTGCTTTGGAATCACCAAAATAGAAATATCTTTCTCTCCTCTGATTTACTTGATGTACCTACTAAGATGTTATAGATAGGACTAGAAAGTAGATTCTCACATTTTCATGTTATATATTTGATGTGCACAAATATACATATATATATTCATATCTTATTAGCTTAAGATATTAATCATTCATGTCTTCAGCTACTTCAAAACTTCAAAAGATATAGTATTTCATCAGTATGGGTACTCATTTTACCTATATAGAATAAAATCCTCACATACCATAGTAGGAAGAGGTGGGAAAGGAAAGAACAGCATTTATTAAGCACCTACTATATACCAGGCACTATGCTAAATGCTTTACAAATTTCCTATTTGATCCTCACAACAAACCTGGGACGTGGTACTATTATCATCCTCATTTTATAGTTGAGGAAACTAAGACAGATGTTAAGTGATTTGTCCATTGTCACACAGCTAGTGCCTGAGGCCAAATTTGAATTCAAACCTTCCAGCTCCAAGCCCAGCACTCTTATCTACCAGTATTCTTAAGTTCCTATAGCCAAAAACTTCATCACATGAGGACCAGCATCCTTTTATTATGGTTCTCCACAGTTCACAAGGTTATTCATCCTTAAGCTACCAAACCACAGCTCTTTGCTAGTCCCCTACTCACCCCCTGTCCTGATAGGGCTTTCCAAGCCTTGGGCTATGTTTGACTGCTCTTCTGTGATCATAGGTTCCCTCCATGCCATGATTCAGCATTGCCTCAGTAGGAAATTATAATCATATTCTCCAATGGATCCGAGATCTCATCAATGTGGATATTCCAACAATATAGATTACAATTCAGCTATACCCACACATTCTGTGGAACTGTTTGTCTATGTCCTCCCCAACCTGTGCAATGTGCTGAGTTTCCTTTATCAGTTTTTCTTGATACTGTGAATAGACCACATAGAACACAGAGGCTGTCAAATGATCATCTCTTGCTCTCACTGCAAGAACCAGTCTTTGTTCTTCATTATTCATATATTTCACAGTTTCCTAGTCTTTGGTAACAATGAAACAAAGAGTAGAAAATCATATATATGAGTGCATGCATATACACATATATCATATGTATATATATATATATATATATATATATATATGTACATATATATTCACATACACACATCTATATTTCTTACATATGGATACCCTATAATATCATTATTTCTCTTCTTGGGAGCCCATCTTGCAGGCTTCTGTCTTTTAAATAAATTCAGTATTAAGGAGATAATTATTTCAACTGTCCATGTCAAGTATGGGATGAAAACCATCAGAAACCAATCAGAAAAACCATTGCTAATAAGTAACAATGACAGATTTCATGAAATGTGATCCAAAGCCGAAGCTGCAGAGAGAGCCCTTTAAATAAGATTGATTAGCAAAATGCCAATTACATAATATAGCTTAATGTAAGGAGCAATGAGTGACAGTGATGAGAGTCTATAAAAGTAAAGCTTTTTTTTTCATTATTAGTATTATTATTATTATTACTCTTCTTTTTAGGAAAGAAAGTTTTTTTTAATAGTCAAAGTTTTTTCCTCCATGTCACTTAGATGCCTCATTTAAAATACCCACCCCATGCAGACAACTCTGAGTTTTTCCTCCACTGTAACAATGGATAACAAGTTCTGAGAGGTCCTGATAAGCAGGAAATATTTCAAATATGGATCCAGTGGTGTGTCATCTGAGAACCATAGTGTCTAGATTTGGAAAGGTCCATCACCAGACTGTCTTAAGGGGACATATTTTTGAGTTATGGCAACTTTCTGTGAGCATCTACCAAGCCTAGAAAGATCATGAGGAATCTGCAATTAGGTAGACATCAATTCAAATCTCACCTTAAAGTGCTGTATAAATGCTGAGGAGAAGGATGATGATGATGACGACGATGATGATGATGATGATGATGATGATGATGATGATGATGCGTTAGCAGGGGGTCACAGTTTCACTGAATCCAAACTAATAGAAATCATAGATCCTTGAAGTAATGAAGTATGAAATTCACTTAGTTTCAGTTTCCACTCTGTGAACTTATCCAGAGAGCCATAAAATGTTAAACTCGGAATGGATTTTACCACTCATGTATTCTACAGATGAGGAAACTGAGTCCCCAGGAGATTTAGTGATACCAATTCATCAACAAATACTTCTTGAATACCTAATATGGGCCAGGCTTGATACTAGGTGCTGGGGATACAAATTTACATGACTATTTAGTAACAAGAAACAGAACTAAAATTCAGATTTCCTGGTTCCTAGACCATTCCCTTTCTACTAAACCATTCCAAATTATTTTTAACACTTTAAATATCAAGGATTGTTTTCTACATTAACAACTAATAAGATTTATATGAACAGTTTATACATACAATGATTAAGAAATGTTAAAAATTCATCTGGAAAAATAAAAAGGAATTTGAAAGCAAGAGGGATTATAAAAGTCATCAGGTAAAATCCCCAGAATTTACAGAAGAAACTGAATGGCCAAGAAGTTACATAGCTAGTTAGTGATAGATGTAGAACAGACCCATTTCTTCTGTCTTCTAGTTCAATATGTCTTTCATGACATAACACGATAATTGATCTTCCAGGATTGTCAAAGGAATTTGTATACCTTAGGTTTTTCAGTCATTACTTTTGTTATGTCTTTATTCAGTTTAAGCATTTTACAATCCACCAGCCCAGGGGTTGGGAAATTGTGGCCTCAAGGCCACATGTGGCCCTCTAGGCTCTCAAGTGCAGCCCTTTGACTGAATCCAAACTTCACAGAACAAATCTCCTTAATAAAAGGATTTGTTCTGTAAAACTTTGACTCAGTCAAAAGGCCACACCCAAGGACCTAGAAGAGGCCTTGAGAACGCAGGTCCATCCCTGGACCAGCCTTTTTAATGCCTTCCACATAGCTTTCTCATTCTACTTCCCAGATTTTACTTATATTCTATTCACCTGCTTTTTTTCTAGCTTCTGTTGCTTCACTTCTTTACAGACTCATCTTCTCTGAAAAGCCATTCCTGGATAATTTACTCTACCTTCTGTCTACTTTTTACTGATCATAGACTGACATTATTATCACTTCGTTATTTTGTTTTCTAATTTCACTTAATGTATGTCTCAAAGAAGGCTCCTCTATATTTTAAATTAATTAGCTAATTATTGTTGCCTATATTAAATGAATTATCAGTCTGGTAAACCAAACCTCTTCCTTTTGTGATATTTTACAGACAATCCGAAACAAAGTAGCCGTGTACCTTTATTTATCAAAGTTCTGGATGTCAATGACAATGCCCCAGAGTTTGCTGAATTCTATGAAACTTTCGTATGTGAAAAAGCAAAAGCAGAACAGGTGAGTATAGTGAATTAATAAGGTACAGTCAAACCTCATTAATTCAAAATTTGCAATAAATCAGCTTGGGTTGGGTTTGAAATTCTTTACGCTGTCTCTGCTTAGGAAATTAATGCTGTAATTAAAAATCTAGGGGAAAAGTTTAGCCTACTTGAAACTTCACATTCATTATATAGGAAGGATCCTGCTAGATACACATCAGTTGTATTAGTTGTAGTTCATTTGAATCACTATATAGTTTTGAATTTAAAAATAGAATTCCTTTTGCAGGATCCTATAACTCAGACTTTTCAGGTATAGTACCTAAAGGGTGCCTCCAAAACCTCTACTTATACTAGTGAGCTAGGTCCTCAGAGGGTAGAGGAATATTCTTACCCTCAGGGTTCTAGGAGTAACCCTGAGGGATTGAGGGTGGTTTTCTAGTACTTTCATTTACAAGCACCCTATTGAGTGTCTTCTTCCCTCAACAACATTTGACTAGTTGATATCGCCCCCAATATCAATTAAGTAATTGAGATCAATTGGCAGAAGTACATTTACTGAGAAGATATAACTAAATAGACTAGATACAGACTAAAGTATTTACTAAACATAGACTAAGGTATAACAACTTCCCTTAGATTGTTGGCACACTTTCCCCTCTTCAGTTGCTGAGGAGAGTAGATTCAAACTTAATGTAGCTGGTATAAAACATCCTTCCCCAAATCAAGGGAAGGCAGGTAGTGGATACTTCTTGACTCTGGGAGCCCTTTTCTTCCTTCATGGAATTCCCACCAAGTTCACATCTTGGTGTAGCATAGCCATACCCTTGATGTCACACCCTTGTTCAATTGGACAGGATCTTTGCAGGCATGTTTTAAGGTCATTCCTTTGAGGTGGCTCCTTACTGAACTCCACTGCTGCGGCTAGCCACAGACTCTACTACAAATTCCCATGCCTTAACCTCTGATGGTTCTTCTAAACTTTCAAAGTTTATAAGACCATAACCTTGTCTGTTCCACACATACACATTCATCTAAAATCAGGAAAGAACAAAAACAAGGGCACCATGAACACATGATGGCCACGTTTCAGAATGAGTCTAATGCTCCTTCCCCACTAAGAGTTTTATATCAGGTAGTGAGTGCTCACTGCAAGGGAGGAAAACAAGAGATCATCAAACATTTTGTATGCCTACTTAGTTCCACACTGGTGACCATTTAAGAGCCTTTTCATCACCATGCAGGAAGCTAAAAGGAAACAGTCAAAGGAAGAGTGTTCTAATGTGAGGGGAAAGGCACCTCCATTTTACATTCTTGAAAGCAGGTTCACCAAGCCTTCATGTGCATTTGAACCAGATAGGAAATATTTTGCATGCTTTAACACGGAGGTATCAAACAGAGGGGCAACCTTCCCAAATGCTGCCCAGCAAGGTTAATATCACTGGGAAATATTTAACACAATTTTTTTTTAAATAAAGCATGGACAATGTTAAGATGTAGTTTTCTAAGTCTATATGTAGGCCTTAGGGATTCCTGCTTATGGTTTAATGGCTTCTCTTTCTATTTGAGTTTGATATTATTGTTCTAAGGAATGAGCCCTCATTGACCAGTCCCCTGACAATAGTCTTTCCCCCATTAAACATTTGCTACCCTCAGCATATGGTTGGGGTGCATTTTAAACACATTGTCTATTTGGCAAAAATCCACAGTCCAAGATCCTGGTTAGTTTTCTCGTGAGGTTCAACATTACCATTTCTGAATGCCTTTGCCAATGCTTTATACAAAAAAGTCTTAGGAAGAAAATCAGGATGGCATAGTTCATAATCAAATCTGCAAATTTTCATATCCATGGTAATACCACTTAAGGTGTTTTGTAGTTAGCTGGTATCACTTGACAAATTTCTCACAAGTGCTTGCAAAAGGCTTCTACCAATCCAAAAAGGAAGGAAGGGAGGGAGGGAGGAAAAGAAAGAAAGAAAGAGAGAGAGGAGGAGAGAGAGAGAGAGGAGAGAGAGAGAGGAGAGAGAGAGAGAGAGAGAGAAAGAAAGAAGAAAGAAAGAAGAAAGAAAGAAAGAAAGAAAGAAAGAAAGAAAGAAGAAAGAAAGAAAGAAGGGAGGGGGGGAGGGAGGAGAGAGAGAGAGAAAGAGAGAGAGAGAAAGAAAGAAAGAAAGCAAGAAAGAAAGAAAGAAAGAAAGAAAGAAAAAGAAGAAGAAAGAAAGAAAGAAGAAAGGAGGGAGGGAGGGAGAGAGAGAGAAGAGAGAGAGAGAGAGAGAGAAAGAAGAGAGAAGGAAGAAAAAGAAAGAAAGAAAGAAAGAAAGAAAGAAAGAAAGAAAGAAAGAAAGAAAGAAAGAAAGAAAGAAAGAAAGAAAAAGAAAGAGAGAGAGAAAGAAAGAAGAGAGAAGGAAGGAAGGAAGGAAGGAAGGAAGGAAGGAAGGAAGGAAGGAAGGAAGGAAGGAAGGAAGGAAGGAAGGAAGGAAGGAGTCCCTATCAAGGCTCCCAAAGCACATGGAGTTCTCCTGTAGGGATTAGGAACCTGGGGTCAACTTGAAGTCACCCAGTGATCCTGAAGTGAAAAAGCAAACTATCCAGTTGAAAAATATTCTGAGTTCCTTGATGCATAAGGCCATCTGAGAGTCCAGACAAAACTTCTAGGTATCTCTTTTCTATACAGGCCATACTGATATTTTTCCCAGAGATCCTTGTACCCTAGACAACCCTTGAAGTCCCAAGCAAATGTTCTAATGGCTTATTCTTTCAGGGGAAATCTAAGTGAGTCCTGAGGTCAAGTTTTAGGGTTCCACTTAAAAAGTTATACAGTCATACATAAACATCATTGAGCTATGACTCAGTAACCCCCAAAGAGATCTTAATGTCCCATAACAGAGTTAATATTCTAATAATAGAATATTATTTATTTATTTATAATATTTAATATTCTAATAATAGGATTCTGGGTCCTAGTTTGTGAAATAAAATCCCTCCTATGGAAGATGATTCTGACCATTCCAGAGGAATCCTGGGATGTTACCAGTTCCATTAAACAATTTGTCTTCCTTCCAGGCTGCTCCTACCGGTCCTTCTTAGATTACAGCAAGATCTTCTTTCTTTTCCTATAAACCCTGAGCAGCTGCTATAGTCAACCCTGCTACCCCAGGGAGCTATATCATTGATCTCTGAAAGTGATGGGAGGGGCTTGACTGGTATTCAGACTGCCCTTCCCTCATCAATTCAAATTAGTGAAATTTCATAAGATTCCTTATGAAATATGTTCTTACTGCCAGTGTAAAAAATGATGTCAAATTGTGTCAAAATCAGACCTAATTGTGCTAAATCATGCAAGGCAGGGTTACATGTAGAGAGGGGAAGGATCTGGTCAGGCTCCTCTCCTTGTGCTTGAGATTTGATTGCTAAAGCAAGCTGCTGAACAGACTTTTCCCTGTCTTGGCAAACGGCCTCAGTTCTAGCAGGTAGTGAAATAATATAGTTTGATAGATCAAAATGATAATGTTTTATGGCTTTTTTTTATACCCAAGGATTTTCCAATCACCCAGTCCTTTGAATGCAACAGATTCCCCATCAGTCTTTTAAATCCCATCATTAATCTCAGCAGTTCAGTGCAAATGGAGATGTCATGCCATCCCAGTCAGAAAAGCAATACAGCAACTTTATTTCAATTGTAGCTGATCCAGACCCTGAGTGCTGTTGACAAGGATGACCCTTACAATGGGCACCAATTTTCCTTCTCCTTGGCTCCTGAAGCTGCTGGCAGTTCGAACTTCACTATTCATGACAACAAAGGTAAATTAATACAAATGACATTCCAAAGGTTGTCCTCTTATCCTTACTCAGTTTAATAATATTTTATGCTGCTTTCTGGTTTCAGACAACACAGCAGGAATCTTGACTCGGAAAAATGGCTACAATAGACATGAAATGAGTACCTACCTCCTGCCTGTGGTGATCTCTGACAATGACTACCCAATTCAGAGCAGCACAGGGACTGTGACCATCCGTGTCTGTGCATGCGATCATCACGGCAACATGCAGTCCTGCAATGCAGAGGCACTTATTCATCCAACTGGACTAAGTACTGGTGCTCTGATTGCCATCCTCTTGTGCATCATTATACTTCTAGGTAAACTGCTTCTCTGCGGGCCCTCTATCATAGTGCTTAGGGGAACATATGGTTATTATGAAACATTAGCTTTTGACCACCTGCCTCATTAAAACTTATACATCCTAAGATAGGTGAGTGGAGTCATGGATAATGGAACCTCAATGATGAACTAGTTTTGTTTGACTGACTTTGGGAGCTAAAGATAAGAAATGTGTGATAGCAGTATATTTCTTCCAAAAACAAATTTTTATATGAGTGGGTATGAACTGGTGATTTGGAGCCTTCTGGTTTCATTTCTGGATTTAACAAGATACTTTGGTATAGTGTAAAGAGAAATGGACTTGGGGACAGAGAGTCTGGATTCAAGTCACAGCTCAATCTACTGTGTAATTTTGGCAGGCCCCTTAACCTTTATGAGCCCAAGTTTTCTCATCTGTAAAATGGTGATTGTAATACCTGTAGCTATCTACCTGAAAAGGTTTTTGTGAAGATCAGAGTATTTCATAACCATTAAACAGTTATATATAAATATAAGGAACTATTGTTGATATTTAACTTGGTTAAGCAAAAAAAAGTTACTTTTATGTATATATGTGTATACATGCATTATATATACATATATTACATTATATTTATCTGAATAAAATAATATATTATTGTAAAGAAAGAGATAAAATATTTAATTTGACCTCCACAAAATCCCTCCCCATTGAGGCATGGAAGTGACTCTGGGTTCTCAAAGACTTGGACAACAGAATATAGAACATATGACATATGTAAGTTCCTCTGTTCAGCTTTTAAAGCTCTTCACAACCTGGCCCCGACTTATCTTTTAGTCTCATTGGATACTACTGTCCTTCCCCACCTTAAGATCCAGCTAAATGGGCCTTTTCTTTCTTCCTTACTCATAACACACCATCTCCCATCTCTTTGTCTTTATACTGGCTGTGCCACATTACTAGAATTCACCTCTTTCTGCCCCAGAGTTCCTCACTTCCTCAAATACCAGCTTATACTGAAAAAGCCTTTTGTGATCTCCCAACTTACAGTGGCCTCCTTCCCATAATACTTTGTAAATAATATCTTTATAAACCATTCCTTCTCTCTATAAGTAGATGGAGTTTTGTGGCTGTTTCCACACCAGGAATTCTTTAAATTGATGAAATTAGTGTATGATAATAAATAGAACAAAAAATAAGTAAATAAAATCATTTTTAAAAATTAAGGAAAATCTTTTTTTTAACTTTTTTTTACTTTTTTTCCTTCTACCTTCTTCTCCTTGCCTTTCATCCTGCCCTTTTTTTCTGTATTTAACGTGCCACCTAAGAACCTTGACAATACTATCTCTACGTTTCAAAATTGTGTGTTCCCGACATAGTTTGTATTAGTCTTTGTGAATCTTTGACTCAAGTCAGCCAGGCTTATTTTAAAGTGGCTCCTGATCTCTGAAATCAAGGGAACTTCCACAATGATTGCCCATAAATGCCATCTTGTGAAATGTCCCTGGTCACAAGCCACTGCTTTTAGTCAATCAATACAGATCAACTCCTTAGAACCATACCATAGGCCAACATGTATTAAATGGCTGTATGGCATGATACACTAGGAGATGACTACTGCAGAGAAAAACATATATCTGGGAATCATGAGAAATGAGTTGAATATCTGTCATAATCAAGAGCAAATGCTGATCCAGCTTCCATTTTTACTCACAATGGACCTGTCATAATTCTCCCTGTAAAAACTGAATTAGATATTTTGAGTAGCTCTATATCAGCTCTTTGAGAACCAAGAAAATCTTGCCACTCTTCGAAAAATGGAGACTGGACTGGAAAAGTTCATGTTCCCAGTTAAATAACCCAGCTCCCTGAAAAAAGAAAGAAAGCATATGACAGACTCAAAGAATTTGGAGAGTAAAATGAGTACCTGCATTTTTCTCTAAAAAGATGCCAAAATAATACCAGAATGAAATATTCAGGAAGTTAGGATCAGTGCTACTAATTATTATAAAAACCTTGAAGCTCAACATAAGAACTGTGAGAGTTTTTGACAACTAAAGTATGAAGGAGGTATTTAAAGCTATGAGAATAAATAAGATATAAAGGGAAAAGTGCAAAAAAATCAGTGACTTTAGTGATGTGAGTCAATAAAAATAATCGCATAATGGAAAGATTTTTTAAAATATCTTTTCAAAATTGGTAAAATCTAAAATTAGACAGTAGAAACAGAGATAGAAGGTTGTTTTTTTAAATGCTTTTTCATGTAAACTTAAATCCAGTGCTTTTTTGTGGAAGTTTGTGGAAGAAAACCTAAAGGCCATCAGAAATCAGGTAACTTTTCCATAATCAAGAGGAAATGCATATAGTTGATGTCTGACATTGTTAGTAGAAAGATTTCATGATACTTATCATGAGTTAGGGAAATTTTAGTAGCAAACATGATTTTTTGTTCAAGTTATTTTTTTCCATAGCAATGTACCTTGGAAATTTTTATGAAAATCAATGGAAAAATTAGCCATTTTACAAAAAATTAAAAAATAGAAGCCCATCTATTATTTCACAAAGGAAAATACACTTCCATAGTGAAAATTTCTACACAATGGAGATTTCCAAATCCCAACTAATGGCCCAGTTACCTCAAGTAAATTAAATAAATAGCATTTCATAAAGGAAAGAAACCTAGTCTTGGAGTTTGAAGGCCAGGCTTTATGTCTTATGAGATATGGGATTTTAGGCAAATCAGAGGATGTAGAACTATGACAAGCAGCCTTAAACATCTATTTCAATACTCGTGTTTTATGATGAGGAAGCTCCAAAGGACCTCTCTTAGCCTCAGCCTTCTCATCCAAAACACTGAGATAACACTTCCATTATAAATTACTGACAGGGCTATTGTGTGTAAAACACTAATAATAATAAAAATAATAGCTATTGTTTTTACTCTCTCATCAAAATTCTACTACAAAAAAGAAGTGAAAATCTGTCATAATCTAATTTACATGTAATGGAGCCATCAGTAACTTTGAAATGCAATATACTAACATTAAACATTGCACTGTCCAAAACCAAACATCGTTTGGATTAAGCATCTAAATTCCAAATAAATTATTTTATATTGTGTAACTTTCTAAAGAAGACAGGTAATATTATACCCATTTCTAATTCTCATAAGAGAGTAAGCAGGAATTGTTCTTTCAATATAGCATTGTGAGATCCCAAAGCATTAAATATCTGAAGAGAGCCAAGAATTTTAGTCCTTCTTAGAGAAGCATACTTAAACCATTACAGACAATAATAACTCCTATTTTTACAGCCATTTGTGATATATGCTATCCTTAAAACAATTACGTTGGGTAGCCTAGTTCAATTATTCCCATTTTATTAAATGAGGAAAGCCAGAGAGTTGAAATGGCTTACCTGTGGTCACATAACTGTGGCAAAAATGAAATCATGGATTTCTATGCTATTTTTCCTATTTAAAAAGGTTACTCTCAATTGATGTGTTCTGCCTAAAAACCATGTCCAAGAACTCTTTCTTTAAACTATTAAATGCAGATTATGTCCATTTCTCATTGTTAGAAAAACTTTCTCTATTCTGGCGCATTTAAAGCCCTTTACAATCTATCTTCTGACCACATAATTTAACTGAAACTTTTGGAAATTATAAATGACCTTTTAATTAGTCAATAAATATTGATTAAACACCTACTATGTGCCAGCACTGTTGGGAATATAATATAATACAATACCAAAAAAAGACAATTTGTGTCCTCAAGGAGCTTACTATCTAATGGACTAAGACAACACCAAAAAAAAAAAAAAACAGGAAACTGAAAAAGAGGGCAAAGTGGGAGGAGTGGGTGGTACCTGACACGGGGCATAGTGGAGAAATCACAGAATTCCCAAAGTAGTACAGTTCCTCCAATCAGAAAAGCAGAGGGTAGAGATGAATTGTGAGTACTAAGGTTGATTGGATTTTTTAGGTTTTCCAAGTTGATGAGCTTCCTGAGGCATGATGAAGAAGTCAAAGTAGTGCCCCTAGGTGCCAAATCTAACAGCTTTTTCTCGGTCCTCGTCCTTCTTTTCCTTTCTGTAGCATCTGACATTGTTCAATACTCTCTCCTCCTGGATACTCTCTCCTCTTTGGGTTTTTTTTTTGTGACATTGCTCTTTTTTAATTCTTTTATTACATGTCTGACCTTCTCTTTCTCCCTTGCTAGATTATAATATATAACATACCTCCTAACTCTAGGTATAAAGCAAAGCTCAGTCTCAGGCCCTCATCTCTTTTTTTTTTATCTACTTTCTCTTAGTTATCTAATCAGCTGTCATGGGTTTCATTATCATTTTTATAAAGGCAATTCCCAGCTATATATCTCTAACTCTAGTCTGTCTGCTGAGCTTTAGTCTTGCACCATTTAACTGATATATCAATAAATCTGTTAAATAATTTAAATAGAATTATGATTTTTTAAAATTGTGTTGGCACAACCTATCCATGAGCACTGAATATCTCTCTAATTATTTAAATTATTTTATTTTATGTCTTTAAAGAACATTTTGTAATTGTATTTATACAAATTTTAAATGTATCTTGGTCAATGGACTGCCAGATAATTTATAAATTTTATCAATATTTTTAATGGTATTTCCATTTCTATTATAGTCTAATTGGTTTAATTATTGCTTTGTAGACATATAGTTTCATATTGGTGCTGATTTTGCATAATGCTACTTTACTGAATCTATTAATTGTCTATTTCCTAACAGATTTTAAAATAGAAGTCCTATATAGACTTCTCCAACTCACCAAGTCCAAAATAGAAATCATTATTTTCTCCCCCCAGAATCCTCTTCTACATTTACCTGTTTCCATTAAGAATAGTATTAGCCTTCCAGTCACATAGGTTCACAGCCTCTCTATCATTTTTCACTCTTTTCTCTTCCTCACCTCTCATATCCAAATAGTTGCTAAATTTTATTTCTACCTCCGGAGTATCTCCTATAATCAACCTCTTT